ACATGATTCTTGCATATTTGTGGCTATAAATACTTGGATTTGCTCAAAGGTGCATTTGGTAGCCTCTATAGCAGTTTTGACACATGTCATGCCTTTTTAGGCAGTTATGATATATTTTCAGACCAAGGAATCTTGAAATCTTGTTATTTCAAAATGAACAAAGAGAGAAGCATTTGAGATCAAACGAGGCCCAATTCAGAGTTTGGAAGATGGGGAAAAAGGCCCAGACAAGTTAAAGATTCGAAGTATTTAAAACACAAAAACAGCAGCGCGAGCATCGTTTCACACTCTGGAACGCAGTTTTGAGTGTCGTTTAAGACAGATGACGTATAAAAGATAGTTCTCGGGGAGCTGTAGTAAGACTTCGTCTTTTGACGATCCTCTAGGGTTTACGGAAAAACAGGCAGAGAACTCTCTGGAGGCACCAAGGAGGAGCAAGAAGTGAAGATCATAACGAAAATTTGCTATTATGACCCTCGCTTCTTCATTTCTTGTAAGTTTTCTTGTAGTTATAGATAGATAAGCTCATAGACTATTCAGATTATGTAGAACCCTGGGGATGATGGATATTTCCATATTAATACAATTACTTATATAATCGAACCTATCATCCAACGTGTCGATAGCTTTGAATCTATTTTTTTTATTTGAATGAGACTGGAAAGGACCATATCTTCACAATTGACCATCAATCAATTGAGCTACCCCGGCTCCTCAAGAGAGAAATATGTAGGACCCATCGTAGTCTACTAGATCTAACCACCGTTAGACATATGGCAGGGTGAATTGCATTGCATAACTGATCAATTCACAAGGCACAAAAGTCCGTCAAACCTTGGGGAAACATAACCGGAATGGTTTCTTTATCCTTTGTTTTGATTTCATTCAATCTAGATTTTCTAAGTAAGGACCCCCGAGGAAACGAGTAGTTTTCGTCTACTCAGTAAATTTGCCGCTATCTTACAACGGATCATAAAGCAGTTGTAATTTTTGTTTGTTTGTTAATTATCAATTATTACTCAAGGTTTACTTGGGTATTTGTTATGGATCATAAAAATGAATATTTCAAGAAGTTCAAGCAGTGGAATATTCTGGCGGAGAATCAAACTGTACAGATGATCAAAATGCTTCAAACAACGATATGTAATTTTGTAGGGATTTCTTGACAACGCACTGTTACAGATATCACGACATATTGGGATGGAAAAACACATGAATCAGACATTGGTGGAGAGAGCAAGGTGCATACTCTATAATATTGGACTGGATAAAATATTTTGGCATAAGAAGTAAACATGGAGTGTTATCTTATCGATAGTGTACCTTACACTGTATTGAATGTTATATACTTTATGAAGTGTGGTCTGGTAAGTCTATTGATTAATCTTTGCTGATTTTTTTTTGTTGTGTTGTTTTCAATCATGGGGATGAGGGTAAATTGAATCCAAGAGCTAAGAAGAGTGTAGTTATGAGTTTCAGGGATGGAATTAAGGGATATTGAATATGTGACCTTCTAAGCATAGCATTATACTTAGTATAAAAGCGAATTGAATCCATGTTTAACCCTGTGTTAAAGGTTACTATTGCATAAGATAGTAGTAATGTTGACGAACATGTGGAGTTGCAAAACACTCTAGATGAGAGTGAGCTACAACACCAAGGTGGAGAAGATAAACATGGGGATGTTTCTTGTCTACGAGAATTTTTAGGTTCCATAACACAGTTCAACCTTCTATAAATCATGGTAGATCGAAGAGAGCCATTGCAGGAATACCTCCAAAGAGGTATGGCATTAAGGATATGTTGGCTTATACACTTCAGGTTGCTGAAGAGGTGTAAATGAGTGAGCCTTTTATCTACAAAGATGTTGTTTATTGTCATGGGTCTACAATTGAATTGCTTCAATGAGAGATGAGATTCGGTCATTTGAAAGGCATTAGACTTGGGATGTATTCAGACAACCACAAGGGGGAAGATTGTTACTTGAAATTGAATCTTCAATAAGAAAGAAGGGATACTATCTCCAGAGGGTGTTAAGTATAAAGCTCATTTGATTGTAAGAGGGTTCACATAAAGGAAGTTTTGATTACAATGACATCTTCTCACTAGTGGTTAGACATAATTCGATTAGGGTGTTATTAGGAATAATCACACATCAGAACTTGGAGCTTGAGGAACTAGACGTGAAGACAAACATGGAGAGTTAGAAGAAGAGATTTATATAACTCGACCAGAAGGGATCCAGTTTCCATGCAATGAATATTATATTCGTAAGTTGAAGAATTCGTTGTAGACTAAAGCAATCTCCAAGACAATGTGAAAAGAGGTCTAACATATATATTATTGAGCTAGACTACAACAAGAGTTCTTATGATTGTATGTGTATATCACTCCAAGGTTGATGACCGTTCGATGATTTATCTTGTTATGTACGGAGATGATATGCTCATACCTGTGAAATTCAAGTATATTGTGACGTAGTAGAACTAATATAGCAGACTCGAATAGCTAGGTTAAGAGAGATCACTTTGGGCTTTGTGGATTTACTGTGTAATGATTTTATTGAAAAAGATCGGCCACTGCTCTTAAGAATAGTGCTGGGATGTGGAAGGAAGATCCAGCTGCTCTTCAAGCTATGGCGCGCAAGTTCTTCCTATCCCTGCACTCTAGTCAAATGTAGTTGCATGTTCGCGCAGACTATCCGGACCCAAAAGTTGAAGGGTCTTCTCCAAGGCCGACCATTAGTATATGCTGGCTGACCCTACGACACATGACCTCTATTATAGGGACAAAATTATGTGAGGTTCAGGGCCTCAAGTTTTTCATAATTTTATGAGTTGATCTACATAATGTGTAGTACAAAATTAAAATATTAATTTGTTTTTTATATTTTGGTAAATATGTTGGGATAATGCATACTTGGTCATGGGTTCAAATCTCTCTTATTTGTTTTAGAAAATTTAATATACTTATTTATTCAACATAGCTTTACTAAGTTTAGACTCAACACTTTAATAATTTGACCATTTTAATTCATAAATTTCAAGTTTGTCCATTTAATTTATATTGCATGAATACTCATTTATTCGATTACTAAAATGTTGTTTTAGTCTCTCAACTTCAATATTTTGATCATTTTAACTTTTGAACATTAAGTGTGTTCATTTATTTCCATTATCAAAAAATTTGTCTTTGTTTCTCTATGGAGAATTTGAGAATTAATACTTGTAAATTTAGTATTTAAACAAAAATTTAACTCCTTAAACACAAACATTTATGTTTTATTACACAATTTCAAATGGAATATTTTAAATATTATAAAATTGGGCCATATTTTATTTTTGGAACGAGGCCTACTGGGGTAGTTTGTCTACTCTTAAGAGAAATAGTAGTGTGGTCAAATAAATACTTTAAGGAGAAAGATTTCTTTTGGGATAATGGTGAAATAGATTAATTCAAAATAAACATTTTAACAGACAAAAAAATGGACAAAGGGAAAAGGACAAGGAAAAAAATGGGGCTACGAGGAAAAGGTCATCCTGTGCAAGCCAAGCCCCAAGACAAAAAGCACAAACTCGATTATTTGCAGAAGGAAATAGTGGCACCGAACTGGGGACAGAAAGCACACACGAAGAAAGAACTAAGGCGGTACAGCAATCTCCGAACTAGAAGTTTCTGAAGCTCTCGACAGCAAACGTTTCTTGACCTAGCGTAACCAACTCTCCCCCACTGGCCTTTCTACTTTGTTCGAAGCGCACAACCAATTATGAATCAAGCAACCAACTTTGTAGCCAACAGCTCTGGTGTCTTCGCCTTCATCCCTGAAAATTCTTGCATTCCTTTCAAGCCATATGCACCATCACTTAGTGTGGAGAAGCACATTAGTACACCATTCTCTTTAGGACTCCCATGAGCTTTGAGAGGCCTGGATCTAATCGTTGTTGTAATGTCGCTAGAGTTGAGCGTGAAGTCCATGAAGTAACTCACCATATTCCAAATCTCTTGAGTAAACCTGCATCACAAGAAAATATGGTCCATGCTTTCTTCACTTTCGCTGCACAGGGCACACCGGCTGGGGAGGGCTCAACCTCCTTTTTTGAGAGCATCGTGGGTGAGGATCTTCCATATGAAGAAGAAATCATGTAACGAAGAGGATTCTTATTTGTACAAATGCTACTTCGAACTTGGAACGAGCATGAAGAAATTGACGATACTTCTTTATCTTTTGAGTTGTTCTGCCTTACCGATTGCTCAAGACCTTTGGTCTCTACCCAGACCCGATGAAAAAAATGGGATCACTTATTATGGGCTTGTTGAGAATGATTCTGATCTAGTTCATGGCCTATTAGAACTAGAAGGCGCTCTGGTGGGATCCTCACGGATAGAAAAAGATTGCAGTCAGTTTGATAATGATCGAGTGACATTGCATTGGACGACAATCCACATAAAGATGCAGACCTTGTGAGGAATGGTCGACTGCCAAATGACCTTGTAGGGAAAGCTTCCGGCTCCCGGATATTGTTCTTTGATCATCTCTGCATGAAAGGAGTGCACAGTGAAGCCAGCAGGGGAAGGATCCCACACCAGCTTTTGAAAAACCTGCGAAGGAAAAATTATTCGACAGACTATTAAGATATTTAAGGAGATTTTCCAAGTAATCCTCCGATCAGTGCACGAATGACTTTTGGAATCCGACAATTAGGCAACGTAACTTATAGCAGCATCTGATAATTTTCTCGATGACTGAACTAGGAGCAGGTAAGAGGCTGCATAGGTAGAGTCGTTGGCTGGCCAAAACTGCGTTCCACGAAGTTAACGAGAGAGATTTAATCACGCATTCAACTTCGTTTATGTTCTAGGAAATTCCTGAGAAGATTTGGGTGTGTGGTTCATTTACTAGGAGATAGACAGATAAAGAGAGCATCCCTGTAAAATAAACTATACTTCCCTGAATCTAAACTCCAAGTTGAAATACTTTTTAATTCGATCAACTAGAGACCAAATTTCAAATCTATTATTACAACTTAGAAGAAGTGGGTAATAGGGAAATTGTGTGTTATTACATGTTGTGGAAGCATGCAATAAAAAACAAACGGAAATTATTGATGGAGGCAGGTGGTTGGTTGCGGAGAATGGAGATGGCTCTCGAGTGGCAAAATAGTAGTTTTCTGTGAAAGATAGTCCCTTTCTCATAGGAAGAAGCCCATAAATAAAAACCCCCTTTCCACGCCAAAGCTCTTCACTTCATTGGCTCCTTCCTCCCTCCCTCAATCCTTGCTTCTGTCCGGCCATCTCATTGTTAACCAGTTTCCGTTCCACGGCGTCGGCTATGACAAGCTCGTCAGGCAGCTGCCGGCGGCGAGTAGTCCCGCTTCTGTTGGCTCTACTAATCTGCACCGCCGCCTCCCACCACCTCGTGTCCTCCCAGATCCTCGACGGTACGTACACGCATTGTTTCTTCATCTTTTGGCCTCAACCTCAAGTAATAAATAAACGTTACGATCCTCACATTAGTATTAGATCGACTTAATTTCCACGGGAAATATATATATATATATATATATATATATATATATATATATATATATATATATATATATATATATGCTTTTGTGTGAAAATGTATTTATATGAATATCATCTCATTTCCGAACGTGTTACATTTTATTTTTCCCCACTCAGGCCTGCTTCCGAATGGAGACTTCGAGCACGGCCCGAAGAGATGGGAAATGAAAGGCACGGTGGTGACAGGCAAAGGCGCCATCCCAAACTGGGAAACCTCCGGCTTGGTGGAGTACATCAAGTCCGGGCAGAGGCAGGGCGACATGCTCCTCGTGGTTCCCAACGGCGCGTTCGCCGTCAGGCTGGGCACCGACGCCTCCATCAAGACGGCGTCGTTGAGAGTGAGGAAAGGCAAGTTATACGCCCTCACCTTCAACGTCGCCCGCACCTGCGCCCAGGAGGAGATGCTCAACGTCTCCGTCTCGCCCCACGGCGCCGCCGCCGCCGCCGCCGGGATACTCCCCATGCAGACCATGTACAGCTGCAACGGCTGGGACGCTTTCGCCTGGGGCTTCAAGGCTCTGGCCGACCAAGTCGTCGTCACGTTCCACAACCCGGCCGTCGACGAGGAGGATCCGGCGTGCGGCCCCCTGCTCGATTCCGTGGCGTTGAAGCTTCTCTCTCATGCCACACGCCCTAAAGGTACGTGGCTCGATACGTTGCCGTTTTCTCGTTTATTCTATATGGACAGTATTCAGATATGCTCCGTGGCAGGTTAGGTTTCAGGTCGGGTAATTTCTAAAGAAATGCGGGTAAGGCCAGATCGACACGATGAGTATGTAATTTATATGGAAACATTAGAATTATTGGTAATGTTTAGTATAAGACCAATACACAAACCATAAATAATATGATAGTTGGAGAAATTGGAGAAATTGAAGTATTCACTAACTTACCACTTTACTATAGGTAAAATATGATGTAATAAAAAAAAATCTAAATAATTTGACTAAGATTTCATATAATTTAGCCAAGAATGAGTCAAGAATAAGGTAAATCAGATCGGGTCGATGAAAGTACCCATATCCCTCCCCAAAATAAACTAAACAAATCAGGTAAAACGAATCAGAACGAAATTGGCATCCCTACCTTTCCCTCACTACCATTAATTGAGTCGTTCCTGAAGTAACTCGACTTGATTTTTCAGAATATCATGTTGTTGCATGGTTACGTGGCAACATTTCATTTGTTCACTTTCTTAGGCTCAATGATTCAGTTCAATTTGAAACACGTGAAGAAGAAAACAAAAGTTTTCAAGGTCCAAGGCAATATCTCTTGGGTGGCATCCGCATTATTATGCCATTATCATCGCTTTAGCATGTCAGAGAGTATGACAACCCTCAACTGCATCATGTGCAAGCATGTGTCCATATATCCGGTGCTAATAATTAACACACACAAAAAAAAAAAAACAGACCAGCTGAACATGTCCACGTAGTATACACTACTAATGTCTAATGAATGAATTGATTGGGCGCTGCAGGGAATATGCTGAAGAACGGTGACTTCGAGGAGGGACCATACTTCATCCCAAACATATCCACCGGCGTCCTCATCCCGTCCCACATGGAAGACGACCACTCCCCGCTGGTGGGCTGGATCGTCGAGTCCCTCAAGGCCGTCAAGTACGTGGACGCGGCCCACTTCAAGGTCCCCAAGGCCCAGCGGGCCGTCGAGCTCCTGGCCGGCCGGGAGAGCGCCGTGTCCCAGGTCGTCCGGACCACCCCGGGGAAGACCTACGTCCTGAGGTTCGCCGTCGGGGACGCGGGCGACCAGTGCGTGGGGGCCCTCGCGGTGGAGGCCTACGCCGGCGACAACAAGGTTCAGGTGACGTACCAGTCCCAAGGGAAAGGTGGGTCCCAGCCGGGCGTGCTGCGGTTCAAGGCGGTGAAACGTCGTACGAGGATTACTTTCATGAGCTCGTACTATACCATGAAGAACGACCACACTGGGGCGCTGTGCGGGCCGCTGTTGGACGACGTGACGTTGGTCAGCGCTCGTTACCCGAGGAATTAGTTCATGTGAAAGTGAGAGAGAGAGGTGTAATTAATTACGTCGTACACTGTCTGTCTGTCTGTCTGGAGGATGGTTAATTAATTTTCTGGATTGCTTCGTTTGTTTATTGCTTGGGTTTTCATGTAGTAGTGGGAGATCTCATTAGAGGGCTTAATGTTTGTTACAAAGAAGCTCCTTTGCAACTGCAGCCGCGGCCCGTCTTTTTAATTAAGTCAATAATATATACAGCCCTTTTGATTAAGTGAAAATATTTTCATAATCTTATATGGAGATAAGGGGCATACTTACAACTCTCAACCAATCTAACTATTGGAAATAAATTAGTATTCGATATGGTATCATAGTTTTTTCTACTGAGATGGTCACGCATTGAAATTATGTGGATGTAGTGCTAGTAAGCAATCATACGTAATCCCCGAACCGGTTTTGTAGGTGATGGCTCGCTAAAACTACTAATAAAATTGATGGCCAAGTGCAATCAAGGACAGGGAAGCAGTATAATGGAAGCAAGCTTTAATTTTCCAAACACAGGGTCGCCAAAACTACTACGGTACTACTACTCGGTGAATTATCTGTTATCTAGCTAATAACTAGTTGTGATGTCGATTGGCTAAAACTAAGAAATGCAAAGCAAATTTATAGGAACTTCATATTTGAGAAAGTCACAATGGTATGTTTCCTCCTAGTCCTTAAGTAGGCTAATGTTGTTTACTCCCTGATCCATTTCACTTGATATTTAAACTGCCTAGAGTCCGGAATTAGATTGGATTCTCGATTAAAACAAACCAAACCCTCTTTAATAGACTACCCGGAGGGAGATTGTCCTCAGTCTGAATAGAATACCAAAGCATTACTGTAAAGACTCCCACTATCGGCGGATTGAAACTCAGTACAAAGTAGTGAATCTATTCACTACATCCAATTGAAGGTGTTCTATCAACTTAATCAAATATTGATCCCTCTCCCAATTCAAAGCCATAATTAAAAGAGTGTGATCAAGACTCAATCAATAATAAATAATGTTGAGTTTAACAAACCATAGTTCAAACAACAATTATATATATATATATATATATATGGTGGCTTCTATCGTACCTCGGGTAAATTCCGGGGTATGGCGTACCTTGGGTGATCTTGACCGTACGTGTGATCTCGACGACTGAGATTAAATTCCGTTAAATGATTTGTTTTTTCGGAATTTATATTAAATAAAATTACAAATCAACTCATAGAATTAGTTTTTCTTTCATTTTAGTCCATTGTAAACCAAATCGGGTTGGTTCTGTTTAGTTATTGAATTGACCCAAAATCCAACCACCCTAAGAGAAAGGACACCTACCTTGCCCCACCCGCAGCCCTACCCCTCTCCTCCAAATCCCGACCTTGGACCTTCTCTCTTCTCCATTTTTCTGTTCGAATTGGGAATAACCCTGTTCTTCCTCCCTACTCCTGTAAATCATCCCCGCCGTCTCAGAAAATGGCAGCGATAATTGAACCACTCTGTTTCCTCCTCTTATTCTTCTTCGTTTTCCCGTTCTCGACTGTTATATTTCCCACCTGTCCTATGATTCCTCCCAATCGATTGTTTGAACCCTAAACTGGCCGAATATCGCAGGTAATCTCGGCGTCAAGCTGTGCAAGCATAAGCACCCCCATCCCTTTGAATGAAAACTAATTGTTGCTTGTATGAGTAATTCACTTGTGTAAACAGCTGGGCAGGCGGAGATGATTGCACTGGAGAAGGCAATGAAAGAGGCCATGGTTCCTTCAGGATCTGCTTGGGAGGTAAGAAAGGGATTTTGAATTGAAATTGCCGAAATTGATTTTCGAACTACAATGTTGTGATTTTGGATGGATCTCTGATATGGATGAGGTGTATTGTAGACTGATTTGGGAAGAGAGGTCTCGTTGTTTGAAGCAGAGGCTACAGCTGTGGAGTCTGTATTTCAAAAATTCTATTCCTACATTTTTTTACACTGAAACCGTGGGGTTCGAACTAAACAGAGACCCCGACAGGCCCAGTCCTGCTTCTATCTTCGTGGTTAACTTTGACAAGGTAAGGGTTTTCACGAATTGTGGTGACGGTTTTATGCATTGATGATAAACCGAGTTAATGTGTATCGGAATTAGGTGCTTAAGATGTCCCTTTCCAGGATCATGTGTGTTTTTGGTCCATTCTTTCAGTAGTCTTTGACATGATCTGTTGAGGAGCTTGTTTGGTGGTTTTCTTTTTCCAGGTCAGAATGGATCCGAGGAACAAGGAAGTCGATCTTGATAGTTTCATGTTTAGCACATTTGATAAGTTGTCTGAAGAAGATATGAAGAAACAAGAGGGTGATTACATTTATAGGGGGAGCAACTCAAGTTTGGTTGAGCTCAGAAAAATATTATTTGAATGGACGATATGTGACCTCTTTCATTTTAGCCACATTCTTCACTAGTGATGCTTTTAATCATGTTTCGAGTTCTTCCATCTTTATTGAAAAATGGTTTAAGGGTCCACTTGATTGGGCTGGTTGTTGGACGATCCTCCAGCAAATTTCGATGGTTTACTTCGTGAAGACGTGATGGGAATAAGTTTTCCGAGGCAAGTAATCTGGCCAGTTTATCTCTATTAGTTTTTATGCGAATCTCAGAGGTGGTTGTTTCTGTTGCTGCTATTTTGGCTATCTGTCTGCAATGTGAGATTACTGTAGCGGTTCCATTTCTGTTTGGCAAACTAGCCTCTGGCTGTGTACTTGTGTTTATTCGGCTGAATAATAAACGTGTCCTTAAATCGTTACCATAAAGAGGGCATTTGTTGGAAAGGAAGAAACAAAACTAAATGCTAAAATGTTTTAGCAGAACACACTATGCGACTAGATATCCTTAAATCGTTACCATAAAGAGGGCATTCGTTGGAAAGGAAGAAACAAAACAAAATGCTAAAATGTTTTAGCAGAACACACTATGCGACTAGATATCCTTAAATCGTTACCATAAAGAGGGCATTCGTTGGAAAGGAAGAAACAAAACTAAATGCTAAAATGTTTTAGCAGAACACACTATGCGACTAGATATCCTTGAGCCCTGAATTCGCCTCTTCTGGGAAGCTGCTTTCCTGAATTAGCCTCTTCTGGGAACCTGCTTTCCTCTCTTGGGAAGCTATTTTGTACTCGAGTGTCTGAGCTTCAAACCTAGGCGCATTCTGATTTGCTTTCTTGAGCACCTTGTGTCTTATGTAATTGGTAGGCTCTTTGACTAGGTACAATGCCACCTGCATTCTTCTCAAATGATTGCATGGCTGTAAGGACAGAAAATATAACATATTAATACAATAGTTGACATAGTTTTTTTAATGTGCTCGTAGAAATAAATGGGCCTAGGTAGTAGGTGATTTCTTACCCAAATATAATAGTCATCATCCCAAGTTGATCCCATCATCCACACACAAACCCAGATCCCACTATCATTCCTGTTTAGAAAGATGCATTACGTAAGACACAAATATTTTATTTTTCTAGTGAAATTATGACCAAATATACATTCTTACTTGTGTCGTTGTGTAGGAACTTCAGGAGTGGTCAAAGAAAACTCCTTAATCTGTGGTGGTGCACATGTTGATTGAACTTCCTTGTGTAAGGCATCGAACAAGTCGTTCAGAAATTCAATCTACAACGTTCAAAAAGTAACCTATGAATTACAAAATTTTGTTGGAAAATATAATGCCACATAATTGAATTACAAACACGTGTATTGAAGTATGTATTCAATGGCACAAATTTTAACTATACCATTGGGTTAACTGCATTCCTACGGATTGTCTGGCGCTCTTTTGATGGGCATGAATCCAGAATGTGTACTTGTTTCTGGTCCATCAAAATTATAGCTAAATACCAGTGGATGCCTTCATCATTCATCATATCTTTCATGGGAAGACAAACCTTCACAGGTACGAGAAAACAATCCAATTAACTAATTAGTTTTCCGACATAATTCATTCAAGAAATTAAGCAGAAGGGCAGGCATAATTCACGCACACATATGTTGTGAAAACCGCTACTAAATAAGCAGAAATGAGAAGGAAGAATTGTGGAGAAGTCATAACCTTTCTACAGTTATGAGCTTTTGATAGGAATTTTGTATCATATAACTCTAATGCCTTTGCAGATGTCATGCCATAATTAACGACCATATCCTGGTAGGAAAATGAAGTTAAATCATTGAACACTAATCTTACTTAATAAACAACCAACCCTGTGTAAACTGAATTAGAATTACAAAGCAAAAGCAACACTTACCTACAATTCCGTAGGCAGAAAGCACACTCCTCTTCCACGACCAGTATCGCTTTTAACTTCGTCCAAGGTCAAGTGGCATGCTAACGCTGTAATTACCTAAAACACAATAGAAATAAAATCCAATGATTAAAAATCGTTAAGCACGTTCAGGTCAACTAGGGGCTTTTCGCAGAAGTACTTACATCAGCATCAACGCTTGACTCGGGGCATAAGCTCCATAATGTCTGCCTGGTATATGATTTCATCATTGTTTTGACCAAAGCTTCATCAGGAGGAAGGTCTTCTGCAAATATATAGTGAGCAAAACTCACTTCTTCGTCACTGTAGTTGACGGCTGTAGGGAGCTCAAACCTTGTGGTACCCTTCAATCATGGAGAACGAACAAATAGAGGAAATAAGAAGAGGTTTTCACTAGGATTACAAGTGGCGGAGAAAGGAACGAAGGAAAACAACGAAAATAGTGGGCGAAAAGGAAGCATATGTACATCACTAGGATTACATACCTTCATTGACAATTTTTGTGGAGGCGTGAGGGGTTTGTTTTGCACACCTAGCTCATAATGTTCCAGCCCTGGTTCAGCATCAAGAACAATCACCTTCGAGTCGGGTGTAGGTGGGGGGATGACGTCTTGCATTCTTGTTTTCTTTGCAGGAGATACATAGTTCTCCAATTCCTACAATAATGAACAATCAAGTCAGAATAAGTTTTGTATAAATAACCTACTGTTAAAGCTCCTGGACGAACCATAGAGTTGGCTAGAGAACGCGTTAGGCGTACAGTAGACTGGCCGCTCGTCATCTTGTTCTTCTCCCTAATATAATTGTACAAAAAAGCAACGAGAGAGTGGAATATAAGAACAAATACAACGAAATAGCTGACTAAAAAGTTAAAGAAAACACATTAGCGGATTGCAGAACTTACACTTCCTTCCCCATAATGTTACAGACACAATGTTGACCAAA